AGGGGGGGGGATCTCTGTAAGTGAAGAGTGGAATGCAGACCCTAGAGGTGAAAGGGCAATAAAGGGGGATGGGAACCCTAGAGAAGAAGGGTTGATGCGGGGGGGGGGGGGGGGGAATTGGGGCCTTGGAATGGAGGAAATGGGGTTTTGGGGACACGAGAGAGGAAGGGGCCCTACGAAGACGGGTAGGGACGTTGGAAGTGATGGAGGGAGATTTGGGGTGCAGAGACAGGTAGAAGCGGGAAGGTGCACAGAAATGTCCGGGATGGGGGAGAATCACGTGCAACCTCCTGGAGCTCGCGGCCCCCTTATTGTGCGCTCACCCCATCCAGCGCATGCGCCCGGCCCACTCCGCTCGCGCTTTCCCTTACCTGAGGCACGCGCCGCTTCCTCCCGCGCTCGTGGACAAAACAACGGGTGCGTGTGAGCCGCGTGCCGCCGCTCCCGGGCGACAAACGGAAACCGACCGGAAACCTGGCCCGGAGTCGGTAAACTACTCGACACTGGGCCAAGCGCCAGCTTTTGTTCAGCTGTGACTGAGACCGGCAACGAGCACCACCTCCTCCCCATCGGCCTCTGACAAACTGTCACCTTTCACCCGGAAGCGGAAACCGCTTTCGTTTGGATTGACATCTAGACCTTGGTATCCTCGTTCCTATTTCTGTTTGTGTCGTTACTTCCCACGGGCAGCAAAGGCAATCGATGCAACAAACACTGAATTGACATCTGTGTGCCTGTAAAGAATCAGATCTTAAATGCAATGCAGTTGTATTTGTTTTTCTGTTGAGTAAATAAGTTTATTTTTAAGAAAGAACTTTGCATCTATTTACCATAAAAAGGATCCCAAGTGCTTCACAAAGAAAGGTAGTACAAAAGAATGCTACTTGGCCTTTGGCATCAATGCTAGCTCTCTGCAAGAACAACTAAGCTATTGTTCCACGTCAACTTTTACCCCAGCGTCTCCTGCAGTTTATTTTTCTTCATGTGCTTATTCAATTACTGTTTGGTAGCCACAAATGAATCTGTTTTCACCACATTCTCATGAGCTGCATTCCACAGCCGTACTACTCGCTGCATAAAATGACCTTTTTCTCAATTTTTTTTTGTCAGTCACTTAAGATAGTAGGTAGATTCTCTCTTCTATTCTGTCCACTGTCCTCATGATTTTGAATTATCAAATCTCCCTTCAACCATCTCAAAGGAGAACATTCCTGTTTCCTCAATCTATCCATGAAGCGAAAATTCCTAATTTCTGAAGTCATTCTCATATCTTTTCTGTACATTTACGAAAGCCTTCGTATTCTTCCTACAGTGCTCAGAATTGGAACACTACCCATTGACTTTACAAGTGATGTTCACACTCCAAGAAAGGATAAAATAAATCGCTCTTAATTTCCAAGGACTGGTAATCGGGAGGAGAAATACTTTTGTATGTGTGCCTTATGCCTCAGAATGCCTCATGCTCTAAATCCTTATTTCCCATGCCAGTATAAGAGCAAATTGCAAGGATGGCAAAAGCAAATAGCCCCGGAATCACAACCTCAGTTTGCTTTTACGTGGGAAGGCCACTAATATACCTTCTATTGGCTACCAAGTGAACCTAAAGAAGGTACAGGGACCAGCGGAATCAGTGCAGTTTTTAAGCATTCAGTGTACAAGAGGGAATAGAGTCATCCCTGAAAAAGTAAAGAATAAAATACAGGAAATGGCTGTTCCAATGAGCAAAACTGAGGCACAGGAATTTACATATCTGCTCAGATATTGGCGCAGTCATATACCTCACTTGACTGTGTTACGAACACCTCTATATGCCATTACCCAAAAGAAAGTTCAGTTTGAATGGGGCGATGAACAGCAGAAAGCATTTATGGCTGCTAAAGAGGCCATAGCACTAGCAGTTCCTCCGGCTCCTTGGATACCTGGCTTTCCTTTGAATTACAAGTATCAGTACTACAAGATGTAGCCACATGGAGCTTATGACAGACACAAAATAGGAAAGCAATACCTTTGGGTTTCTGGTCCAGAAAACTGACTGAAGCAGCTACACATTACACACCATTTGGAAAGCAACCTCTGGCCTGCTCCTGGGCCTTAGTAGAGATTGAAGGGCAGGCGGGCGAGGACAAAGTGCTCCTCAGACCTGAATTACCAATTCTAATGTGGGTTTTGTCTGATATTGAAAAACACAAGGTCAGTAGAGCCCAACAAAGCCCCATTGTAAAATGGAAATGATACATAGCTGATCGAACCAAGGAGGGGGTTGCCAAACTCCATGAACAAATAGCTGAATACCTGTCAGGTGAACAAATTCCAAGTTCCAACCTGGCCATACCCGCACCTCCTGTTCAATTGGGTGTTCTGTTTGAACAACTGCCCTAACATACTGGTCACTGTGCTTGGTTCACTGATGGATCAGCCACCTGCAAGAATGGCCAAAGGCGGTGGCGAGCAGCTGCATTTAATCCTTTCACACAGATGATTATCCATAGTGAAGGAGACAGGGCAATGAGCCAGTATGCCAAATTAGCAGCTGTGGTCCTAGCACTAGAAGAAGAGAGTCAGTGTCTGCACATTTATACTGACTCACGGCAGTGGCCAATGAAATGGCTGTACGGATGCCAACCTGGCAGTCACGAGACTGGAAGATTGCTGGAAAGCCCCCGTGGGGAACAGAACTATGGAAACAAATATGGGCAAAGGTCCAGCATCATGTTGATGCCCATATGAAGGATGGTTCAGAATCTGCTGATCTCAACAATATTGTAGATGGAATAGTAAAAGCCAGAACAGTTGAAGATGCATCCAAACAGTATCACGCTGAAAAATGGGCTCATGAAAAATCAAGACATTTAGGGTATCACAGTACTGTGCAATGGGCAAGAGATCGAGGTTTGCACTTATCCGCTGATCTGGTGAAAGAAGTCATTGGCAGGTGTGAAATATGTCAAAAGTAAAGCATGTACCACTGCCGATAAAGCCAATGGCACAAATCAAATGGGGAGATCAGCCTGCTCAAATGTGGCAGATTGACAATGTTGGCCCATTACTGTTATAGCAACAATATCAATATCCATTAACCATGGTGGACATTTACTCTGGGATAATGTTATCTTTCCTGTCAACCAAAGCAAATCAGAGTAGCACTGTTAAGGGCCTAGAGCATTTAATATCCTACTATCGTGAACCATCAGAAATACCATCCGATAATGGTCAACAGGTGTAGCAATGGGCTGCAGACACTGGGACACATTGGATGTTTCACATTCCCTATTACCCTCAAGCAGCCTTGTAGAACGAATGAATGAGTTATGAAAACAACAAATTAAATTATTGACCCCTAATCATACATTATAGGGGTGGCTCAAAGTGTTGCCGCAGGCATTGCACAATCTGAATAATCAGCCTCTGAAAGGAGGATCACCCATGAGTAGAATGTTTAAAGGAGGTGGCCTTCCTAGTTACATCCTACTAGTAAACCTACAAAGTCCGATGACCTTTGTATAGGGGGAACCCACAACGCCCGTCTAAGCCTGGTGAAATACTTACCCATGAACAAGTGGATACCTATTGGCTATTGATAATGGGACAGGAAGCTCCAGAATGTATAGACGGAGGGAAATTAACGAAAAGGAAGTGCGTTGTCAAAGATTGTAAACTGATAAGATATGATTTCTTCATAGAACCATGTGGGCTTATTATGGATGGATGCTGCTGTGGATGATTCATCAGATGACGTGGGCAACTAATTTACATAGCTGGAGTGTGGATATGGCATGGACAGCACAAAGAGACTGAAAGGGTGCAGGGCAACTTTGCTTGTCAACCAGGAAACCAATGTGTCTTTGCACACTATACCACTAGATGTACGGCTTGTGGGTTATGGTTAGCACAGGGACATGATATGTTTACCATATCTAAAGGACACACAGTACAACTGCAAACTGCATGGCAAATGGTAATGGCTTGTAAGATATATAATACAACAAAACAGTTAATGAATAGAACTTAGTTACTGCATTGGGTACAGAACAATACAAATACATTGCAAAGGGTTAAAGAGACTATTGTTATACGTTTTTGGACGGCTATTACTGATTTGCATCTGTACTTGCAATTGTAACATACGCTGTCAAATATCATCAGGCGTGGACTGTATAGGATAAGTTAAAATTGATGATGATATTCGACAGCAAAATGACCTTGAATAAGTCCTGTGAAGGTGACTGACATTCCTGTACGTGCGAAGATAGCACAATCAACTTGTTTTTCTGTACTGGCTGTTTGTTACACTGTATAAGAGAGACAGTTTCGTTCCAAATCGTTGGACTTCCCCTCGGACCGGGATTGCGAACAGTGCCAGGAGCGAACCTAAGTCTCCAGACCAGCCGTCGATCGAGGAGTCCCCAATGGGCAGAAGGGCATGAGACTTATTGTTTATTTTCCTTTCTTTTTCATCTTTTTATTTACTTAATAATGTTCATATTTAAGTAAATTTATGCTGTTGAGTCTTCTCTTAACCACATTCAACCGAATCCGAAGAAACATTTGGATGCACTTTGTGATCCAAGACAATAACAATGCTCATTTAACAAACTAGTCCAGGCACAATGGGCATCTTTCTGTACAGGAACAATTCTGTGATGTCACCATTTCACCCAAACTTTGGAGAGTTATGAGATCAATTACTATCCTTTGACCTGGTTTTGTAGCCACAGTACTTGTATAGCAGGTAGAGTTCACTTTCTGGACAATGATAATCTGTGGAGGGAGAAAGCGGGTCAATAGGCTAGATTTTATGGTACACCTTGTGCCCACCTGACCTGGCAATTTTTATCAGCAACAAGGAAAGGCATTGGGCTGCCCACTTATGGTCAATTGAGGGCCTCAAGTGGGCCATCATTCACCTGACAACTAACCAGAAGACTGTACAATTTGGGTGAGTCAGCTGAACAGATGTGGGCTTATCCCAGACATTTCCCTTGGACCGTTGGAGTCCACCCATAGTGTAATTCAGCCCAGTGTGTCAAGTCAAACACCGTTCATTCTGAAACTATTTTTAACTTTAACTCTGTTTCCCTGTAAAATCATCATGTCCTATAGGAGGAGACATCCTGAGGTATTAAACTTTTCTGCATCTTTACAGATGCAGTCTGACTAACTGAGTGTCTTGAATACTTTCTACTTTTCTTTTTAATGAGAATTGTTAATCTTCCATTTCACTAATGTCCTTTAGGGAAGGAAACCGCCATCCTTACTTGGTCTGGCCTACATGTGACTCCAGACCCACAGCAATGTGGTTGACTCTGAACTGTGTTCAGGGCAATTAGGGATGGGCAACAAATGCTACCTAGACAGCGATGCCCTCATCCTGTCAATGAATAATAAAAAAAATTGGCAGGAGCATTGCTGGGGAAGGAGGATGTACCACTCTCAATTTTCCAAAGCATTGCAGGATCAAAGAGCACACCTCTTAGTCAGTGGGCACTTATTCATGGGGGTATTTAGGAAATTTTCTGAGTTCTGAGGAAGGGTCACCAGATGCATTTTTATTTTGTGTCGGAAATTTTCTGATTTGCCAAGACCCCAATTTGCTTGTCAGTGAGAAAAGGCGTTAGAC